TACTCATGGTGAAATTCATACAAGCAGGTCTTAGATATGTCGAGAATACATATATCCACATAAATCGGCTTGTTGAACTTCACTTCGAGTTTTCGCAATTCAACGGCAATTAAATTTTCTGAAAAGATGCTCCTGCTATGAAAATTTGACATAGCGACCATTGCCTCTGCGCCGTATCGTCCATCCCATTTTGTCCCAAAAGTTTTGGCCCAAAAGTTTTACATCGACATGATTACGAACATTTTCCATTGTTTTGCCGAATACCACGTTGTTCATCAATTTGTATAAATTTTTCTCAAAATCGTTTGTTGCATGCGTTCGAAACTGAGTATTTAATTCTATGTAGTTGCGTAGCCATGAAGTTTATGCGAATTGGAGTATGCGATGAATCTTTTCGATACGAAGACCATGGCGTATGCACTGCTGCAGATTACGATAATGAATAACATAACACTGCTTATTATATAAAGTCGCAAGGAGTTTTTCTTGCCGTTTGTTCGGGGGCTTCGTTCGCGTCGGACAGAACGGTAGATCTGCATGTGCATCATGCAAGTGTTGAGGATACTCCAAATCAACCTCGAGAATATAACCTGTGAGCGAATTTAGCGGGATTGATGATACATAAAAATTCGACGTATCATCAACCTACTTAAATTCAGCGTATGGTAACGGTTGACACATTGCCCAGCCATACAAATTATTTATATCAAAGTACATGAGGTATGAGGATGGCTTCGATGGATCGTAAGATTGCATGTATTGGTTATTGGCTTTTGCGTATCTACCGGAACACTGACTTAGGCCGCCACGTATACCGCGTTCGATAAGCATTACCATATCAATATCTGTGAATAATTCAAAATTAATTTTTGTATGTTTTAACATCGCGTCCCACGTGAAACCTGGCAATGTGTAATAATGCGCGGGATCTAGACCGTAACTTTTGATGCAACTATCGCGGAAATTTTCGAAAATATCAGCCAATAACAAAACATCAGTCTTCAGGTACAAATCGCTATATTCGCCTAAGGTTTGAATAGAAAACCGTTCCCATACGTTCACGGCGTGCGTGCAATCGCTCTCAGATACTGTATCACCTGTCAGCGAACTGTAGAATGACTCGCGCGGTGATAAACATTGATCCTGCAGCTTGTCATTGCAATCCACATATTCGTATAGAAAGACACCTTTTCGAGTTAATAAATCAAAATCTTTGTCGGATAAGTTTTTAAATTCGGATTGAAGAATTTTTAATTTGTCTCCAGTGAGAAACGATGCTAATTTATCGAGACTGGTACTGAGAAATTTGTACGTATCGATGAACCGCAATTTAATATGATTTCGCCAGTCTGATGTTTTACTTGTTGTATCTTCAATATGTTTGGTAAATGAAATATATTTTTCTTTCGTTATTGGTAGTACATCGACCTTCGAACGCGGTGGCTACTTCCTTGATAATAAAATGAGCGTCATAACCTGATAAGTTATGAAAAACTATCGGAATATATTAGGAGCGCAAAAAAGTTCTGAGCCTTTTTTTGCAAAATTCAAAATTTATTTAAAAACAAACAAAACTATATTAATCAACGAAATATTCCCCGTTTGCATCGATGACCTTTTGCCATCTTTCGGGCAGCTTGCAAATTCCCTGATGGTAGAAGCTCACCGGCTTCGAGGCGATAAAGTCATCAATGCATTTTCGTATCTCTTCAAGTGTCACAAAATGTGTATCAGCCAAGAAATGCTGCAGAGACCGGAATAGGTAGTAATCGGAAGGCGCCATGTCTGGGCTATACGCCGCGTGCGGGAGAAGTTCCTAGCCTAACGCAAAGATATGGTCCTGAGTCACTTTCGCAACATGTGGTCGGGCATTGTCATGAAGCAGTATCACTTTACGACGTCCTTTGCCAGTAAATGGCCTCTTTTCTTCAAACGCATCGCTCAAATTGCTCAATTGTTGCTGATAGCGATCTGCCGTTTCTGTTTCACTCGGCTGTAACAACTCGTAATACAATACACCTTTCCAATCCCACCATATGCAAAGCAAAACCTTCTTGGCGTGGATATTGGTCTTTGGCGTCGATGTCGAAGGTTGACCAGGGTCAACCCATGATTTTTTACGCTTCGGATTATCATAAAGTATCCACTTTTCATCACCTGTAATGATTTGGTGCAGAAAATCCTTTTTCCGGAACCTTGAAAACAAAGTGAGTGCCGTGTCACGCCATCGATTTTTGTTGTCTTCGGACAGTCCATGCGGAACCCATCTGCCTTCCTTTTGAACTTTTCCCATTGCATGTAAACGTGTGGAAATGGCTTGTCGCGTAACGCCAAGTTGCTCTGCAAGCTCCTTTTCAGTTTGTGCAGAGTTTATATCCAACAATGCTTGCAGTTCGTCCGTTTCAATCTTTTGAGGGCGTCCAGCACGCGGTTCATCTTCAAGACTGAAATCTCCTTGGCGAAATTTTTGATACCACCTTTTACACGTAGCATAACTTACAGCGTTCTCTCCATATGCAACACAGATCATTTCAGTGGCTTCAGCAGCATTTTTCTTCAGATGAAACGCGAAGTGGATGGAAAATCGAATATGCTCTTTTGTTATTGCCATCGTGAACACTGCTGATTTTAAGGTTATGTGCATCAAACGCCAAATCGCACGATGTTTCGAAAGACCAAACGTCACTGCTTTAAAACCGCAAGAGGGCGGGAAAATTAATGCAATTTAAATTGTGGTTTCAGTAGTATGAAATCTAGGGCTCAGAACTTTTTTGCGCTCCTAATAATAGGAATCTGTATAATTTAAATTACAATTGGAATGTGCCGGACCCCTGTATTGTCTGGTTAAATGACAGTGATCGCGTACGCGTATATCCTCCACTGCGAATAGTTTTTCGCATATATGACAACGCGTTGCACTAAAATACTGCGCACTGTTCTTGTAATAAAATTTCCATAGGGACATTATTACGCAGAATAATTTTTATACGATGCGCCAATTGTTTAAGTTCCTCGACGAACCACGAAATGCAATTCGGATCGCGACGACACTGATATGCGGATAATGATTCATCGTAGGAACATCGTACATAATAAGCTATACTATGTACTTTATGATGCTGATACACATACGATTTTTTTTCTTCGTTTGGCGTTTTCTCTAGAATGCATTCCAGGTCAGCGTACACCACGAATGGAATCCGTTCCCTTCTGCTGTAATTAGTAAAATTGAGCCACTTGTTGGCCTCTGTTAGCAGGATGACTGCACAGTCATTCAACTTGTTGCAATCTATGATATGATTCTCCAGTTTTTCGTTGGAATAAAAATAATGCAAGCAACTGAAAAGAAATGGATATTACGAGTTATTCTTTTATTTCATATTTGTTATATTGTATTTATGGTGAATATCTCCTTACCGATCGCATATATACTTCTTGCATTTTTTCTTACTTAGTTGCATGTCCACAAGACGTGACAAATTCTTGATCCACATGAAATGTCCCATGTTGCACTCTTGTGGATCTTGCACATATAACAAATTTACATGCTTTTCCTTCTTACTGGCGAGACGTATCGGAACGATCGTACATACTTCTTCTTGCTTCTTTTTATCTTGAATGGTGTATACGTTGATGGATATGTTGTTTAGCTGTTCAAACTTAGTAATTTGTTTAATCGTCATTGGAAATTCAATATCCTGAAGATTGAATATTTTGGTGTAACGTGGGTACGAAGATTCCCGGTCTCCATGTCTTGCAGCTAGATATAATGCCGCGACCACGGACCATGCAAAACATGCGTTGTCTTTAGTTCGTACGTTTATCACGGCTTTCTTTAATTTTATTTCGCGAGGCAACTCAATGTTGCACCCTGCATGCAGTGGATTGTATTTGTTCACATTAACTGTGAGATCAAGTATGCGCAGCAGTGCCCACCCACTATCACGTTCTTGAAATTCTTCCAAAGATGCCAAAGTAGGCTCGATGACGCATTGCTCGTACCATTTATCCAAATCTAAAGCAGAAAAGAGTTCACTGTTTCTCGTGTTAATGCTTTTGAATGCATGATTGTCGCCTGAGATAAACTCGCCATTGAACACAGTGTTCACCTTAAGATTGCCGTGCTTTTCCATAGCACTTCGCACGTGCTCAAGCACTGTACTCTTCGCATCTTGGAGAAATCGAAGAGGTTCGATATGGTTCACGTTAATAACTGCGCCGGTTGATATGCGGCTTTCGAATGCTGTATCAATTTCTCTCCATACCAATTCTGCATCTCTTGATGCGTGCCCAGCACCCACATGTATGAAGCGTTCTTGCACAGAAATTTTCAGTCCCTCGAGTCGTGCAATACGAGCCACCACTGATTGCGCGGCGCCAATCGACAATCGCGGTCGTTTTGCTCGACTTTGTTCTTCCAAACATCTGATACACTTGTCAAGCTTTTGCACCCACGCGTCGTAAGCCTCTCGCGAATTCAGACGAGTGGATTGCTCCAACAGTTCTCGTTCGGTTTGAGTGAAGTCTTCCATTTTTTTATTAACTACAGAGAATACTCGGCTCTTTGGAATCCTTTACTTTATATTCTCTCCGTTAGAAAACACGTTCGGATATGCATGAGTCAAATGACGACCGTGAAAGAAGGAGGGCGTACTAGGCGATGGGACTTGCTTCTTATTTCGTCCCGAAGAGAGAAAAAATATCGCGTAAGTGCGGTAGTCGCTAGACCGGGAATTGAACTCGGGTCTCTCGCTTGCAGGGCGACTGCTCTAAACCCACTGAGCTACCTGACGCTCTATGGTCAAGACACTCTCCTCTCCCCTGATATCGTTAAAAGATGTCGCTCGGAAGCGACATCTCTAACGCCATTCTGAGTCTAAACCAAAGATATCTACATCTCATTTACTTTCCTGTTTTGAGGAATATATCTGCGCATGCGCTACAACTCTGAACAGTAAGAGGAGGAGATGCCCTATAGTAGCTTTAATATTAAGCTTCGGAAAAAAACCTCTGTCTCTCAGTCGCTCTGTGAACACGAGATTCATCGGTTGTGTGTCTACATAGTAAAGTTTGGGTATGTCTACATAATAAAAATGTATGCTGCCGGTGCTGAAGTGAACGCTAAACACGCAAATTATTACATGCCTGCTCAACATGAGGACGAGGCTCCACCGAGCAAGAAAATGTGCGAAAGGTGAGTGTTATTTCTTTTAGTTTATCCGTAGTAATTTTTCCAAGATTCAGACATGTAAATTTTCTATATCTTTTCAGCGTTCCACGACCTCCTGCTGTGCATATCTTAGGACCCCGATACGCTTTGACTGCAACTGCTTATAAATATTTGAATATCGGAATCAGCGTAGGAGCTGAACCCGTCATAGACATAGTCATTGATGATAATCGTGGCAAACAACTGCTATTGCCGATCAAAACTTGGAATGCGCTAATGGGGCAACGTGCTGACATCCAGAGATTTCTGCAGGCCAATTTTTATAAGTCATCGTCTCCCCCGATGCATATAGAAGAATTAACAATAACGTCATGTAAGATGTACAACTCACAAATTGTGAAACTCACAATTTTTAATAATTGCTTATATGTAACACCTGATACGTTAAATGTATTATTTACATTTGAAAATTGCATCAGTCACATGTATGGATGGTTATCAAAAAATATCTGTATAGTTAGTGTAAAATTCAAAAGTTTTGTAAATATTCTTCGTGAAAAGAAGAATTATATTACTAATATATATACTGCAACAAAAACAATACAAGAAAGCAGCGACTTTGACCGCGAGTCGCTCATTGATTGTGAATTGTTAGCATGCGCTGTAAAAAATATAATGTATGAAGCCGTGAACAAATAAATGATATTCTAAAACAAAATTATGTATAAATTAATTCTATATGTCTCCCATTTTACTTCCCTTCCCCCTCCTCAGAACGATGAGGATAGTGCCTGGTGCAAGTCGGTATGGTAAAATACTCTTTCGACGAACGTTTCGTATTCCCTTCTAACCTAACCTATGATGGTCTAAATCAGTGCCCGGAATTATTTGCACGATCGGGCCGATTTCTGAGAGCTACGCCTCCTTACTTCCCCTTACTGCTCCAGCCCGCACGGCGGACCTAGAAACTGACAGTCGCGAGGCGCTGTCTCAGGCACGTCGCATGAGACAGTCATATTATAGTTATATTAAGAATATTACAGTGTATACAGTGTATATTATAGTTATATTAAGAATATTACTTATATTGATATTTCTATTAACATATATTTATATTAATATTAAGACTATATTATATTAGTAAACTATAAAAAATGCCTATGGAGTTGTTTTAATAAATAAATTTGTTTCAGCTATGTTAAACTGTGAAGCATCTCATGTGACTCTCATGCGACGTGCCTGAGACAGCGCCTCGCGACTGTCAGTTTCTAGGTCCGCCGTGCGGGCTGGAGCGGTAAGGGGAAGTAAGGAGGCGTAGCTCTCAGAAATCGGCCCGATCGTGCAAATAATTCCGGGCACTGGTCTAAATGGTAGGACCATCGCACAGTAAACGAAGCGTCCGGGTCCGAATCTGGTCTAGTTTCGACTTTGTTTTTCTTTTGACGCATGCATGACGCCATCATACACACTATAAGAACCTTCACTAGGCGCCTACTAGCAATAGGTAACAATGGTCTAGGAGGTTCGAGAGACGTCCGATAGACGTTCGAGAGACGTCCGAGAGACGTCCGATAGACGTTCGAGAGACGTTCGAGAGACGTCCGATAGACGTTCGAGAGACGTCCGATAGACGTTCGAGAAATGTCCGATAGACGTTCGATAGTAATCGCGGGGCCCAGGTTCGATAATAATCGCGGGGCCCAGGTTTGACCCTACCTACACCGCCGCCATGTTTGTTCTTTTGACGTATGCGTGACGTCACGGTCGCCATCTTACCCGTAACGTGACGTCTACTAGCAATAGGCGACGGTGGTCTAGAAGGTTCGAGCGCTCGATAGCAACCGCGGGACCCAGATTCGAGTCTGGCCTACACCGCCGCCATGTTTTTTCTTTGACGTATGCGTGACGTCATCACACACATACTGTAAAAACCTTCACTAGACGTCTACTAGCAACAGGCAGCAATGGTCTAGGAGGTTCGAGCGTCCGATAACAACCCGCGGGGTCCAGGTTCGAATCTACCTACAGCTCGACGCGTTTTTCTCTCGTGACGTCACGGCCGCCATCTTGCTCATAGAATCAAAAATTCTGGGGTGGAGAAGGAAGGTACCAATAAAGAGGGGGTATCAATTAAGAGGGGGGACCAATTAAGAGGAGGTATCAATAAAGAGGGGATATCAATTAAGAGAAGGTATCAATTAAGAGGGGATATCAATTAAGAGGGGGATCAATTAAGAGGGGGAATCAGTTAAGAGGAGGTATCAATTAGGGGAGGGATTAATTAAAAAATATTAATTAATAAATAACGTCTTTTGCATAATTAATTAGCAATTTGGGTTAGAATCCCTCTAGTCTATCTACTGTAGGTTGTGCTTTGTTACAGTGCTCTATCAATCATGTGGTCTGTTCTAAACTTTCGTCTGGAATAGAACTAAGAGGATTATCAAAAGCTCGCGGTTTTAACCCGAATGCAGTTTCTGAAAGTGGACTGTCACTCAAAATTCTCCGAATTTCAGGAGTGGAGGGTTCAATTATAGGTAAGAGAGTAGATGCATGGGGAGTACTTGAAGACTCAGAGGGTGCAGAAGGAGCGTAAGGTGTGGATGTGTATTGCGGCTCAATTGTTTTAGAAGGTTTAGGCGTTGCCTGTATGGCCTGTTGGTATGCCTTTTCAACCTCGGATTTATCTGAATTCGATCGCGCATTCATACCCTTTTTCAACTATCGCTCAATTCATCCCGGACGAGCCCCAAAATTTTATATGTTACGTCCTGGAGGAGGAACGCAACTTGACGCTTGCTTTCGCAAGCTCCGACGTACTTGCAAGTCTGCGGTATAGATCAAGGATCGGAATGATCCCTTTATAGCGCGGACGTACGTCGCTGGTCCTTTATTAGGTCAGGGAACTGAATCTCTTTACCTGGGATAGGACCGTGAGCGACGGTTGAGGAGAGGGAGGATTTTTACATTAAATAATTATTGGTGACGAATGGTTGCGTATTATTTACAAATTGTGCATTTATTGATATAAGTATTAATTTTAAGTTGTAAGGAAATCGATTTTCAGATATATACGTTGTGTAACTATATATACAGGGTGTTTGATAGCTGATCATGCAGACAAAAGTTGGAGATAGATTGGGAGTAGCCAAGAAGAAAAGTCATGTACCATAATGTCAAATTGCCAATAGTTACCGAGTTATTAATTAAAACATGTGAGCCAACGAGCGCGTAGAGAGCGGAGGGCGGCCGCAGTAAGCACGTAGACATTTGATACAGGCGGAGTCAGCGAGTGGCGATAGGCGAGCGCGCGCGGCGAGGGGCTACGTAAACGACAAGAGCGCGCGCAACGAGGAGCGAGCGAGCGCGAACGACGAGGAGCGAGCGAGCACAAGCGACAAGAGGCGAGCGAACGCGACGAAGAGCGAGCGAGCGCGAACGACGAGGAGCGAGCGAACTATAAGGAAAAAGCTATAAAGAAAAAGCTCGCTCGCTCCTCGTCGCGCGCGATCGCCTCTTGTCGCTTCGTCAATCGTGTAATAAATTAAAAGTTGTACGCATTACTAAAGAACTGAATTTAATATTCTTTTCTTTTCTACTAAACGTTTTGAATTTCTTACATATGCTATCATTTCGTTTGCATAAAGTAGGAGAAAAAATAACAAATTTGACAACGATAGGTTTCCTTTCGTACGTATGCGATAGAGAACTACAAATTTCACCTATCGTTTATGCACCCATTGATTACGACAGATTTTCAGTGATCTATTCATAATAGAGTCCAATAAAACGATAGGACGCGTAAAGTCTCTGTATAAATTCTATCATATTTCGATACGAACGAACGATTGAATACTCTTCTAATAGCGAACGATAGATTACGACAGAAAATAATTAAATTGTCTGCACACTCTATCGGTTTCCATCGCTTTCACTCTTTCCATTCTTTTTTATCACACATTGCTTATAACTGTTTCAATAATTGGCTATTTTTGCTCTCTTATTAAGTAATCGTAATTGTAATCGCGAACGTTCGCGGCTCGGCGACATCGTTGCGAGTTTCGGTGCAGTGCGGAGCGGTGCGGCAAGACGTAGGAGGAGAAGCCTCGCAAGTGCGGGTAGTGGTCTGTTGTTTCTCCCCTCGCCGCGCGTCGGTGTCTATTTATGGGTAGAGTGGGCCGGCCTGATACTCGGGCGGCTCGACTCTTACACATCTCGGCGGACGCTATTGCTGGACGTTTTTAATTAATTTCTCGAAAACTATTACGATTATCGCAAAACGGTATGGGACTTTTATGCTCATCTCAAGCCGTGCTAGGCCTCCACGAATTTTGTATATGTTGCTGCGGAACACCCTGTATATATGTGGTCGCGGTTCTAGAGGCAACTTTTAATTATTCCAAGAGATATTCAGGTACGAGAAGATCAGGTGTCAGGGAAGCGCGTAGTGAGGGAGAAGATCGACGCGAGGATGCCTCCGAGGGAGAGGGAGAAGAAATAGGAATGAGGCCACGGAGTAAGGCCGCGTAGAAGCCACGCGTACCCCCTCGTAGAGGTGAGGTTGGAGGAGAAGGTGTCGGGGATGAACTCCAAAATAAAGGAGGACCTATAGGAGATCGGTCTTCGGTGGGACTCAGGGATGTTGGAGAGTAAGATATAGGAGGAGTTCCGGGGGGAGAATCGGGAAGGAACAACAGATGAGAACGTGCAAATCTTGAAACTTCTGATTCGTTATGGCGAACAATGTAGTCCGGGCGATCTTGTAATGCAAGTTCTAATGAGGTGACTTCAAAATCTTCGCGGTTTTCGTACCTTTCCGAGGTAGTTAGGTCCGTTTGAACTTGATAACATTGAGCCACTGCAATCGGATTCCACAATTAAGGAGACATGCCAAGGGGGATAGAGAAAGGGAGAAAAAGGAAAGAAAAACGAGAGAGAGAAGAAAGATAAGAGAAGAGAGCAGGTAGTGAGGAAAAAAAACAATAAATGAGAAAACAGAATAAAAAGAAAGGCTTACTGTTGCCGTATGGTGGTTCTCTTTGGGTGAAGGATAATAACCTGTTGTCGGCCTCGACTTTGGGTTCAGATATCGTATGATGACTGCCTTAGGTTCTGGACGGCGTCCATATTTTCAGGGTTGGTGTGCAGACTGGTTACAGTTGGTGATGACAGTGAGTCAACCGAGCCAATTTATAGAGAACTGAAGGAGTGAAAAATGTATGCACTGGACTAAGTGGTTTAAGAGGAGCTTCTTTCTTGGCTGCTGGCTCGGCGAGAAGTGGCTGAGACTTTTGACTTTTCTCAAAAAGTCAGCTCGGTTGAGGAAGTGGGGTCTAATTTTTTATGCCCAAATATGGTCATAGGACTGTGCTTCGAATGTTTTTAGAAGTTGAGTCAAGAGCGTAAGATAAATTTTTTTTCTTTTAGGAGATAAGGAGCATGTAGCAATAAGAGGATTTAGATAGTTTACAAAATGTGGCAGCTATCTTAAGAAGGAAATGTCGATATTTTTTAAGTAGGATGTCGCGGTATTGTTAACGTAGACTGAGCGCGTGGGAACAAAATCGGAGTTGGTTTGGAGATTGGAATTTTCAAAGATTCTAGGGTCATCGCGTCGTGTGATAACATATAATAATAATAATAATAATAAATTCAATTTTCCTTGTTTATAAAAGAGGTCTAGAATGCGCAAAGTCCGCAGGACGTAACAATATTGTGGAAATCAGTTTACGGCAATTCAAAACGCCGAAGAACGGGCCGAAGAAGAATCAATTGAAACCAGAGCAAGTACATCCAGATGTGAAGAAGCTCATCTTGCCGATATACGAAGATTTGTCTCGCAATGATTTGCTTGAGAGATGCTTAGATCGCTATACACAAAACGCTAATGAAAATTTTAACGCTACTGTGTGGCATCTGGCCTCTAAGCATCTAAACTAAAGTTCTAATATAATAGAAATTGCTGCATTTTTGGCTGCCAGCATATTCAATGATGGATACACCTTCATTTTGCAAGTTGTGAACGATCTATAACTGCAAATCGGGAGGGGGGAGACTCCATTATAAGCATTTCACGGATACGTACGATACCGTGTGCGCAGAGAGGAACGCCGCAGCCTCGAGAGCACAAAAGAGGCAAGAACAGTTCAAAAAACAGAACAAGCGGCTTTACTGGACGAATTTGAAGAAGAAGGCTTATTGTACGGCCCTGGCATCGCTGACTTTAAATCTGCTGTAAGTTCCCTAAAACACTATTTTTCCATTCGGAAAACTTTAAACGCGTTTTTCTCAAAACTAAATTTCGCGCGCCGTAAAATGTAGCTCAGCGAATTCTCAACCGATTGCGATGAAATTTTGAACACATATTCTTCAACATATTCTCCTTTGCATGAACCTAAAAATTTTTTAAAAAATTAACAATAAACAATGTTTTTAGTAATTTTTTTATAAAAAATATCATGATTTTCTTTTTCAAAATGGTGCTGAATTTTTAATTTTCGATTTTTTTTTTAATTTAGGTTTATGCTGAGCGTATTATTATATTTTAACGGAAAATTTTTGGTTTTTTGATTTTAGATAATTAGAGGGACCTGTGCGTTCAACGTATTTTCGAGTAGGCAACTTCAAACAGCTGCTGCTCAGCTATTTATTAATATTTTTACATGAAAAAATTATTTCAGATAGTTTAAATGCTAAATAATAACATGTGCTTACTTGTAAAGCAATAAACTCTATGTTCTCTTCAAAAAAAGTTCGAGAAAAAACGACTGTTTACTTGATTCTCCCCCCTTAAAAAGGTCTTTAGATGTAAACAGGACAGTATAATGCTATATTATTATATCTGTATTTATGTATGTATATTTATATTTATGTGTGTAAGAGGTCAAAAACGACCGTTGAATTCAGTTAAAGTATATTCAATGCTCTCTCGATCTTTGTTTGGGAAAAACGTGCATAGAGCAGCAAGAAATGGATAAAAAATTATCAAACAATGATTCTTAAAATAATGATAGTAATGGGTATCACGATTGGATCGCAAAGAAAATTATTTGCCGAGTATTGCAACAGCCAACGATTGAACACTGGCTGAGAGATCGTCCGTTCAAGCAATCAAAAAGGCTCAAGTGGCACAAAAGCGGCATTATAAACTTTTTATGAAGAACAGGAGGATTTGTTATATGCCCCTGGAATAGCTAATTAGCATCAAACAATTGTAAGTATTTAAACTTTTATAGTTCACTGTATCTAAATCTTTAAACGCGTTTTTCTAGAAACAACTTTTTCACCTGGCGACCACGATATCTCGAAAACAAATAGTCCGATTAACTTCAAATTTGCAAAGAATATAAAACACAAATCTCTTTCTGGCATGAACTAAAATTATTTTATTACAGTTTGTACTTCTTTTGTCATTGTAAAAAGTATGACCAATTTTCGTCAAAAAATCAATATTTATTTTTCGAGACGATATTTTTTTAATTTCTAATTTTTTTTCGCTTTATTTTAGTTCATGCCATAACTACATGTATGAAAATTATGTATCACTTTGGTTTTTTTGTTTCAGATTACCCGGAGACGAGGATGGTCACCATCAAGAAAAAACTTTTCTGAGGCGACTCGCAACAAGCAATTTTACGGGCGCATTTTTTAATAAATATTTCTTTTAAAAATTATAAATATAGTAAAATGTTAGGAGAACAAGCTTATATAAATTAAATATTGATAAGGTTTATAGTTAAATAAAAAGTTCCAGAAAAATCTATTTCTGAGCGCTGCAAAGGCAAATGTACCCTTAAGATAAAAAAATTTATAAAAAGTAATTAATTTGGCCTTTGGTTTAGACTTTTAGTACTAGACAAAGATAAAGTGTTATTCAAGACACCCAGACATGCTTTTTTTACCCCGCATAGACAAGCTTAGCGCTTATTTCAATTTTCAGAAAGCGGAGTGCATTTATAATATTGTACAGTGGTTAACAGAATAGTATTAGGAGTACAAATAAGTTTCCGCCGTTTGACAAAAGATGGCCCCACCAGAAGGTTATGTTGAAATTGTCAGATGTAAAACGTAATATCGTAAGTTTGGACATCTGGTAACAACATAATCTTGAAGTATTAGTGACTCCGTATCAGCATCACATAATTCTTTTCGTGCGAAAATGTAAAGTTTTGTGCCGAATAAGCGTCATTTGCGGGAACTTTTGATTTACTTCTTTAATTTGAAGAAATCTGCAGCTGAGGCGCAGACTGCTTTAAGTGAGAGAAGTTGTCGTGAGTGGTTTCAAAAGTTTAAAAACGGTGAGTTTGACGTGGAAGACAAAGAACGTAGTGGAAGGCTGAAAGTGTACGAAGACGCGGAATTGGAAGCATTATTGGAGGAAGATTCGTGCCAAACGCAAGAAGAACTTGCACTTATATTAGAAGTGACTCAACAAGCAATTTCACATCGTTTAAAATCGTTGGGAATGATTCAAAAACAAGGAAATTGGGTTCTATATGAACTGAAGCCGAGAGACGTTGAATGCCGATTTTGCACGTGTGAAATGCTGCTTGCCAGGCATAAAAGAAAGGGTTTTTTGCATCGTATAGTCACTAGTGATGAAAAATGGATCCACTACGATAACCCAAAGAAGAGAAAATCATGGGGACTACCTGGCCATGCTTCAACATCGACAGCCAAACCGAATATTCATGGAAAAGAACTCATGCTGTGTATTTGGTGAGATCAGCTTGGTGTCGTGTATTATGAGTTGCTCAAACCGTGCGAAATCATTACTGGAGCTCTCTACAGAGCACAATTAATGAGATTGAGCGGAGCACTCAAGGAAAAACGCGCCCATTACTACTCCAGACACGACAAAATTATTCTCCTACATGACAACGCTTGGCCACATGTTGCAAAACCGGTCAAAACCTATTTGGAAACACTTAATTGGGAAGTCCTACCCCACCCGCCGTATTCACCAAACATTGCCCCTTCCGATTATCACTTGTTCCGGTCGATGGCACATGGCCTGTCTAAGCAGCGCTTTACATCATATAAAGATACTAAAAATTGGGTCGATTCGTGGATAGCCTCAAAAGATGAAGAGTTCTTCCGATGTGGTATCCGAATGCTGCCAGAAAGATGGGAAAAAGTAATGGCTAGTGATGGACAATACTTTGAATAAAACGTAATGTACCGTTCTTTCACAATAAATTCCTAATTTTTGATAGAAAACAGCGGAAACTTATTTGTACTCCTAATATAACCCACTAATATAAAGATTGAAAACAAATTTAGAATTATGATTAACTTAACACCAATTTTATTTGGTGCACGAAGTATAGTAAATTTTATTGAAGATAATTTTCAATTTCACCAGAGAAGAAAATATATACTATTGTACAATAGAAGAAAATATATTTTATTTTCACTTCCATCAATTATCATGTATTTCATTAATATGTTTTACATTTCTTAACTATATAAGTCTAACATAAGTTAATAGCCAAAGGTCGTATACATAACTTACTAAAAAAAGGAATCGTATATGATAATATTGAGTCTGGGAAAAAGTTCGTGGCGTTTTTCCCGATAGATGGCGTCAATTGCAAATAACTCCGGAAACACAGATTGCAGCGACACCACTAAACGCTCGTTGGAAAGGTGACACTTCGAGCGTTACTTTCAGTGTATAAATCGAAATTGGTGCAGTGGTTGGAAAGTTGTTTGCGTTTAAAAATGGAGAAAAGTAATGAAAAATTGCGCTATATTTTGCAATATTATTACGACAAAGGGAAGAACGCTGCGCAGGCTTGTGAAAAAATTTGTGCTGTATACGGTGAAGGTACTTTATCAAAATCTGCTGCGCGGAAATGGTTCGCTCGCTTTCGTTCTGTATAATTTTGATGTGAAAGATGAGTCACGCTCTGGTCGTCTAATCACTGAAAAAGCTGATGAAATTCTTGAAAAAGTCCAGCAAGATAAGCATATCAGCAGTGTCGATATTGGTATGGAGCTAGGCATTGACCACAAAACTGTTTTGAACCATTTACATAAAGCTGGCTACAAAAAGAAGCTCGATGTATGGGTTCCTCATGAGTTGAGCGCGAAAAACATGATAGACCGAATTAACATCTGCGATGCGCTGCTGAAACGCAATGAAATCGAGCCATTTCTGAAACGTGTCATAACCGGTGATGAAAAATGGATCACATACGACAATCGGAAGCGTCAAAGATCGTAGACAAGGGATGGTGAGCCGTCACAAGTATTCGCGAAGCCAGGATTGACGCCGAAAAGGGTGATGCTGTGTGTGTGGTGGGACTGGAAGGGAATCATCCATCATGAGCTACTTCCAGTTGGTCAGACGATTGATTCTCAACTCTATTGTGGACAACTAGAGAAATTACGCCAGGCAATTGAAAGAAAACGGCCCGAATTGAATAATAGGAAAGGTATTGTCTTCCATCATGACAACGCCCGACCACACACTTCTTTGATGACCCGTCAAAAATTGCGAGAGCTTGGTTGGGAAGTTTTGATGCATCCACCGTATAGTCCAGACATAGCCTCTGACTATCACTTGTTCCGATCTCTGCAGAACTCTCTCAATTATAAGCTGGTAATTAAGCTGGTTTCAAAAGAAGCTTGTGAAAACCACTTGATTCAGTTTTTCAACCAGAAACCATAGAAGTTCTTCACCGATGGCATCATGGCTCTACCCGAGAAATGGCGAAACATTATCGATAATAATGGAGCATATTTGGTTTAAATAAATTCATTTTCACACTATAAGAAAACCAGTTAAATTTTACTAAAAAAACACCACGAACTTTTTCCCAGACCCAATATATAATTATATAAAATTATATATGGTTATATAGGGTGGTTGATTATAAGTTGCCACCTGCGAGACATAGGTCCGGCGAGATAAAATAACGAATAGCAGCGTATTGTCTTTCCCCTCGCCGCGCACTGGCAACAGTTTCTGGATCAACTGGACCGCGCTGCGGCCTAAGCAGCTGCAACGCTTCTCCAATTATCTATGTCGGTGCGCTCCTATTCCTCAGATTTCTGTCATTAATAACTCGATAATTATTGCGAATCTCGCAAAACGGTATGAGACTTTTATGTTTATCTTAACCCAATCTATCTTCACATTTCGGGTTGGCAATTTATAATCAACCACCCTGTATATAAATTACATATAAATTTTGTCTATATATAGTCACATATGTCCATATGAATCATATATGTCCATATGAAAAATAATAATGTTAAATGAAAAAAGAAGAAATAATTTTATTCAAATAAATGTCGATATTATGTATTGCCAGAAACATAAGTATTTACTTCGATTGTATTTGTAAAACAGCATTTATTGCAATAGATGTACAGTATATATGCAATAGGTATAAAATTATTTCTAACTTTAATTCTGTCTCATATCTAGCTATATTCTAGCTATATTTATAATATAATATAATTATAATAATAAAAAAAAAAATAATAAAAATATAATGAAAATACAATAGTAAAAAAAAATTAGTTTAGATATAATAGAATATAGATAGACACCTCTTCTCAATTATTACTATATAAAATAACTTATGGATTCATTGCTCTTATTTGTATCATACGTTCTTTAGCTGCTTTAAATTGTTCAAGAACATTTTCAACACTACTCACAAGCGTATCAGTATTTATTCTATTTGAATTATTAGTTTGATAATTAAAATACTTTGCAAATGTACGATTGTGATGAGCAATGTTAATGTTAATTTTAATATCTCCGCTAGATACGATTTTCAGATTTGACTTGTCCAAAATTTTGCCCTCGTATATCGCTGGAATACTACAATACGTTATATCCTGAAGTTCATAAGAGCCGCCGATGAAGAATCGTTTCAATGCATCGATGAAACCTCCTTTCGCACGCCACGTAGGAATTGTGAACTTGTACAAGCCAGGTGTCAATGGTAGTGGTAATGCTGCATATCCCTCTATTCGATACCTGTGTGTGTACGCAACAATTGATACGAGCATAATAATTTTAACAGCAAAAGAAAGAAATTAGACGAAATTCAGAATAATTTTTTTAGAATATTTATTTCAATTTATAATATTCAAGAGATAGAAACGTGTGTCGACGCGAACTCCATATAATTACCTGGTCCAATCATCTAGAGATGCCACGGAGAATAATAAATGAGGCCAAAACGATGATACGTTTGCACTCGATTCTTGAGTCTCTTTTGACGGGTAATATAACAATATATCGGTGCAATAACTAAAACACGCCGATTTATTGTCCAAAAGACATTTTTGCGTTCTCCCGACCAATCTTTCTTTCTGCTTCGTGCTCCAGTGTTGTGGCAGATCGATGAAATAGTTGATAAATAGTCCGTCGTAAGAGAAACCGTGGGCTGACACGATATCTAAACTTAAAAATACTGTAGATAGATTCGCTGGTGCAAACTGTAAATCCTTGTATATTTCCGCTTCTTTATAGGCAAGCTGTTGTGCCTCCTGCAACATCCAAAAACAATTATTGATACTAACGAAAGCTATGGAACAAAGACAGAAGCAGTTAACATTAACATTCAAACTATGAAGAGAAAAATATTGGTATTGCACGAAAATATTTTTTGTTTCTTGTATATATTCGCTAAACGTGATTACTGGAAGTTGCATTTATATTCTTCCTCATCAACTTAATCTTATTAACTTGTTTTTATTGAGTAGAACTCTCTCTTTCATTAAATTTTCGTGTATGTTTATTATGAAAGATACAAGATCTCTTACACATAATCTCACTCAATCACGGCGAGCCGCAAAATACAATTTAATCCAGATGAATTTCTGCTCGCGACGCGTGCACAACTCGGGCAGATAATAAAAGTTTGCTGAGCTAGCAGATATAAGCGCATAAAGCTTCCGCTTACATGTATGAATCACACGACAGCGGACATATTTTCATATCCTTCGTGCACGTACATTCGTGTGGCTGTGTGTCTAACAAAGCGCGAGATAAAAATCGCTAATCTGATTCTACGCATCTCGACGGCGGTGATATACAGCGCTGATACATGCGCATAAATCCCTACTGCTGCTTCTCCCTGCCGATGTAGAATTACGTGAAAGCCGATTCTCTGTGTTTGCAGATATTTCTGTCCCACTGTGCACATATAAACTGTGTATATGTACGTATACACTAGCCGATAACACTATATACTACACTTCATGGAGGAGAACGTTCAGAAAGACATTCGGAGAACCATAGGATTCAGTTGAGCGTAGGCAGCGCAGTGATCAACTTACTTCTTCTGAGACATGTGCACACGTGTATGAGGAAACATCTCCGTCTAATACATTCAACAGTCGGTTAGTCATTGTCGTTAACATACATATATACGTATGTACTTTCGTATATATATATATATATTTCCTGCTCGCCGATTAATATATAATAGCAACTATGCGCGAGAGCACAACCATCAAATTGTTGGGCTCCGAAACTTCCGAATGTGTTTTTTCAAATAACCGAAAAAGGAGAACGACGATAGCGGTGAATTGACGGCAGTCCGCCGAAGATGCCATAATCCTGCGAATGCGGAATGCCGAGAGAGGAATAATTTTTATGAAACAACGATAACAACATACCGACAATCATCATGTTCTATCCGCAGAGAGTAATGCGACAGATCTCGGAAGTATCCTACGTGGGGTATGTGTGTTGTTTTCTTTCTTTTTTTTTTCAAATCACAAATATTGAAAATTTGTTTATGTGCCTATTACGTCAACCGAACAAAATGCGAACACACTCATGACTTCCTCTAACGCTTGAACTCGTAACAGTAAACTCTACGTTGTCTCATATCAATGTTGCTAGGATTTTCATCGAGGTTAATCGGCACTCGAGTTTATTCATGCGAATGTGAAAGACAAACGTGTTCATAGAAAAAGAAGATTAAATTAGCGTGATAATGAATGAACCAAATGCGTTTTGGACGAAGGAATATTCGTTGAAAAAAGTGAAGTTTGCAATCCAACTATTAGACCTGAATTTCGCTCATAAGAATTAGAATTTCTTTCAAACGCTGTGCAAAGCGTTTAGTTCATTCATTATTATGTTAATTCAACCAAACTTTTTCTCTGCGTTGGCTTGCCAAATTGTTTCATCATCGTCATAATTCGATACATGGCTGACACGCGAGCTTCCACATGTCGCGTCACGTTTTCCTGATCGATCGGATATTATCGGGCGACGCTGCACGTTCACGGACTGTTTTTGTGAGACCAAATTACTCAAAAGTATACGAAAAAGAAAGTTCGGCCGAATCTCTCTCTCTCTCTCTCTCTCTCTCCCTCTCTCTCCCTCTCTCTCTCTCTCTCTCTCTCTCTCTCTCTCTCTCTCTCTCTCTCTCTTTCTCTCTCTTTCTCTTTCTCTTTCTCTCTCCCTCTCTTTCTCAACGTGACAATGAATAAACCAAAACATTTTATTGATTAAAAGAAACGACTTCTGATTCTTCGGAACTAAATTCGACTCTGAGAATTACACGTTCTGCTTCTTTCAACTGTGAACTCTCCGTGTATTATTTCTAGATAATTCTGCGAATTTTTCCGTGTATAATTTATAATTTACAACATAACGAATTAATTTCATTAATTATTGTCACAGTAATCCGCCGATTGCCGTGCAATTCTTTTTATTTCTTAACACCGTGCATTACGAAAGAGATAAATGACACACACACACACATACGCGCGCGCGCACGCACGCACGCACGCACACGCACACACACGCACACACACGCACACACACATACACACACAAAGTGTTTCCCGCGGATTTCGCAGCCGTTGACGCATACTACAATATTTCCCGATTGCGTCGTCATCACTATGAATTCTCTTAATTACTTGCGCCATGCGTGCAATCCTGTTGCAATTTTTTCGAAATAACAATGACGAGCGTGCGAATTATGTTAGGAGTTTTTAATTTCGATCTGGAAGTAATTTCGTTCTATCGGCCACTTTCGGCTCACGACCAGCATTCCGTCACTTCCAATATAACATTATTAAAAATATCGTGTGTATGTAATATTAACATCCACTGCGTGTAAGTCATCAGGAAAAGACCGATCAGCGATCACGGAGAAAAACGTCGGATATAAATGTAACCGCGCTACAACGCAAATAAACAAGCACATCTCACACGAGCAGGAATCGCAGACATGCATTTTCCACGAAAAACCTTGCCGACACGACGATAGCGATGCGGAGAACTCTCTCAAAGAATGGTCCGTCCTCCTCCTCCTCCACCTCCCCTTCTCTCCTTTTCCACCGTCCCTCTCCTCCTCCTTCTCTTCCGTTGAGAATAGCGAATATACTCACGCGCCGCATATCCTTGTGTTGTCGTTGTAGCTCCGGCGACGTCTGCTCCTTGGAGACATGTTCAATCCAATAATTGTACTTAATGCCGTAGCTATTGGTGACGTCGTAATGCTCGTCATCGTCGCTAATAAAATCAGGGCTAATCGTCAGCAGTTTACACATCTTATTGTAAGTCACGGTGCAGAGTAGCGTTTCTGAGTCGCGGTTCGACCCAACCGTAGGCTCATCATGCCGAGAGAGATCGACCATTATATACATGACAGTATAGGCCGTGTACAAATAATGACTCGATCGAATTCTTTCTTCCGTGGCTGTGTCCACTACACTCTTGTTGTAGCGTTCCCGAAAAGGCTTGCGATTTCGCAAGGTCGGCAGTGCTGTTTGATTTTTTGTTGACAGGTACGACCTGTAAGTGAAATTTCTTTTAGGCAATTTTTTCACGTGACATTTTGAATTCTGATTTAAGGAAAAAGTATCAATACCGAGATATGTACCTAATTTTGGAACTATGAAAGGTCATCTTGAATTTTTTTAAATGGAAATCTTCATTTTTTATTATATCACCTTTTTTATCAATTAATTTGAATAATTGTTAATCTGTCCAAAATCTTTTCTTATTTGCCTAATATTTTTTTAGATATTTAAGAAAAACTTAATAACTTTTTCAATATTTAACTTACGATATCTCGGTAATTATTTGTCAGAAGAATGAGTGATATTATGCTTTTTTACTCTGCTCTTTATTCTAGTCTCAAGAATATGCAGTTACAATAGTGCCCTAACTTTTGTTAACATAATTTTGAAATTTCTAAAAACCATCAAGTTAACAAAAATTAGGGCACTATTATAACATCATATTTTTAAGATCAAATAGAGTAAAAGAGTCTAGCACCATTTTTTCTTTTGACAAATAGTTAGCGAGATATCGTAAGTTAAATATTGAAAAAATTACCAAGTTTTCCTCTCAATATCTCAAAAAATATTAGGCAAGTAAAAAAAGGTTTCAGACAAAAGTTGTTAAAATTAATTGGTAGAAAAAAACGATATAATAAAAATAAGGATTTTCATTTAAAAAATTCAAGGTGACTTTTCCATAGTGAGGACGCTGAAGACGCTGTTTAAAGTTATACTAACATTACTATATGATGCGTCATTTAAAATCCTTCAATTTCTGCATTTAACATAACATTTTTTCCAGTTTGGTTGTTTATTCAGGTTCAAAGTTATTCAGATGACTTGTTTTAGATATCTCATCCTGTGTGTATATATATTGAGTGTGTACATATATTTTATGTTGAAAGTTCAAATTATTCATATTTAAAAATCAAAATAATAAAAATATCTAAAAGTAAGTGTCCCGGCATTTTTTTTTGGTACTTTTATCTTACCAGACAAAATTACACAGTTAAAAGATTTATTACATGTTATGTTCGTTAATCGTTCAATTTGATTGAAATTTCGGTTTATAAAATTTCGATTAGTGAAATTTGTTTTTTGAAATCTCTTCAATCTCTTTCAACTTTGATAGGAAATAAATTCATGTACACAGGATATATTCGTTGTAAAATAGAAAAGAAAGGTTTAGAAATGAATGTTTGTACGAGAGCGTTTATTAATAAATGCAAGTAATCAATTCGCGTCCGATGAATTCATCAGAGATATTCGTTCTTGCTCGACGAAGAGCTCTCGTACGATGGCTTGTTTTTTTTTCGCAGAATGGCAACAATTCCTACCTGTAGGGTTCTGTGAGGAGTTCCTTGTCGAAATAATAGGAGTCGTTCTCCGTGTAGGAATATAATCGACCGGTCCGCAGCTCTCCATTGTTATCACGTATGCGCCGATGATAATCCCGCTGATAATCAGTGAGGCAATTTTTTCCGTCCGCATAGAAGTCGATTTCAAATGAGCTGAACACCTTTTCCTGCCAGCCAAAAATACGATCCTCCTCTACCAAATAGTTGGAGTCCCTGGTTTCACCCTCGAACTCTTCCAAAAACTCGGCAAGCAGAGACCTCTGCTGTACGACTCGCACCCTGAAACAATAAACGAAATACCGATAACGTTTTTTGATAGAATATAAAGTATAACAGTGGTTCGCCTGGGCCAGATGCTTATGCTCTGTCCTCCTTTTTCCTTCTCTTTCTTTCGATCTTCCTCTTTGTCTCATGTTCAATTTCGCGTAAGAAGCCGTGAAATCTATACGCCAAATTGCCAGTGATTAAGAAACTGGCACAACAAGTATTGACATAACAAGTTATGACAAAGACAAAATTGAGTTAATCTCGCAAGCAGTCCTCATCGACTTCCGTACATTGAGTGTACCGTTACAGTGTGCCTAATGACCAGCACTGTGATGTTATAGCTGTTTTATCAAATTATACAATGTAACATGTAACATACCTGTTAGTTGTAATTTCCTACTCAACAATGTAACTGTTACTTACACTATACAGTGTCCCATTTTAAATGCCACAGGCCAATATCTCGAAAAATATAGAAGATACGGAAAAATGTTTCAGAGAAAAGTTGTATAGTTACAAGGGAGACAAAATAATTATACCAGTTTGTTTATGCATGCACCAGATGGTACCACTTTCGAAATATTCACTAATCGTTACTTTTCTTGAATGGAAATCCCATTTTTTATTATATAATTTTTTTCTACCATTATTTTAACAACTTTTGTCTGAAACATTTTTTTATTTGCCTAATATTTTTTTAGATATTTAAAGAAAACTTGGAAATTTTGATGATTTTGAAATTTCCAAAAGTCGATAAGTTAACGAAAGTTAGAGCACTATTGTAACAATATATTCTTGAGACCAAGTAGAGTAAAAGTCTAATACCACTTTTTCTTTTGACAAATAATTAGCGAGATATCGTAAGTTAAATATTGAAAAAGTTATCAAGTTTTCCTTAAATATCTAAAAAAAATATTAGGCAATTAAAAAATGTTTCGGACAAAAATTGTTCAAATTAATTGGTTAATTAATTAGTTAAAATTAGAAAAAGATGATACAATACAAAATTGGAAGTTTCCATTTAAGAAAAGTAATGATCAGTGAATATTTTAAAAGTGGCGCCATCTGTAAACAAACTAATATAGTTATTTTATGTCCCCCTTAAAACCATATGACTTTTGTCTAAAATATTTTTCCATATCTTCCATATTTTTCAAAATATTTGCCTGGGGCATTTAAAATAGAACACTTTATATAGTGTAAATAATAGTTACATAGTTGAGAAGGAAATTACAACTAATAAGTATATTACATATTATATGTTACACTGTGTTTGCTAAATACTGACCCAATGTAGCTTTTGTAATTTACTGTTTTTCTATTTGCATTATATTTGCTAAAACTGCAAATGTTTTTACAAAGTGAGAGTACAAATGTCAATGAAATCGAGCATTCTTAAACAGAAATGTTTCTTGCGCTATTTATATTTATTTTTCTAATATGAGAGAAGAACAATGACTCGCATGTAGAGTTCCTCGACACCTCACTGGAAAGTAATATGGGTTAATTCGTGAGATGTACAGGCGAATAATTATCTTGGAGGAAAAAACAAAACAAAAAATACATGACTTGAACAACTTTTATAATCGTAGATATAAATGTTAGACAGTACGACGTGTAAAGCGAAGCAAAAGAAAACCATTGGTGCTTATGTAACGAACGCCTCGAACGTAAAAGGTTTATGTTAATAATTCCTCGCATGTAAATGTACTCTTTTGTTCTCTCAATCCTCATATTCCCGGCTGATTATTCTCGAGACGATTTTTCTCTGTTCACCCGAAAGTCTCATTCAGCTCGTCGCACGAATAATTGACATTCATCGCTTTCCAACTGACGCGGATAATCGACGTCTCACTATGAAATATGAAATATCACGAAAACAATGGAAACCTCTTATAGTCTCTTTCGATTGATTATATAACGTACATTGGAAAACTTTATAGACTTGTGTAAACAGCATCCTCCCTCGTTTTTATATTTATAACCTTTATACTTCTCTGCGAAAAATCGAAGTCAACTTGGCGTTATCAGATGTGCAGGATTCTTTACGCGATGATGTTTCTTGATGATTTTAATTGTTATTGTTTTTGTTTCCGTATTCCTCTTTATTCTGTTTCTTTATTAATTTTATTTTTATGTTATACCAAAAAGTTCATTATTCCATTAATGAGGAAAATTAAGGAATAACGAACTTGTATTTTTATTCGAGGTCCAACGAGGTGCCGAAAAGAGTTATGAGAAATTGTTTTTCGACTCTACCAGTTGCCAGTGATCCAATGTTGTCGGGAATTAAATTGTATCTCACATCCAATTCGATATATCAATCAAATTTATCGAGTTAAATTTGTACATTGGTTTATTTATCGTTTATTGAAATAAATATTTGAATGACGCAACACCTTATTTTCAGATTGTCCATCGGTTCATTCACCCTGTAGATAGCCGCTGTCTTCTTTTTCTCTGTCTTATATTTTGAGTCAAAAACCATGACGAGTATTAATACGCCGATTTGATTATTCTGCGAAGAGAGATCAGAACGGTGAAACACTGAATAAGCTTGGCTGTCAATGACTTGAATAGTTTGTTTGTTGATTTATCTGTCGCTAAGCAACCTCATCGCCGACTAGGATGTAGTGGTGGGGGTGGTATCAGCATCGATCGAAGTATGTCGTGTTTTAAATTTTTAACTGTGGGAATAAACAAAGAAAGAAAGAGAGAAAAAAGAGGGAGGAGGAGAGGAGATAAAGACAGAGAGAGAGAGAGAGAGAGAGAAAGAGAAAGAGAGAGAGAGAGAGAGAAGTTTTCAGACAACTTTCAGTTTTTATGTTTTCATTTCTAGTCAAATCTCATATATACTGTTATTTAAAATAATGTTATAAATTTAATATTAAACATCAATAAAAGTGACATTTGCGATAATGCGTTGAATTCGTCTTAAAATCTCTTATATTATTCAAAATAATTTAATAGTGTCATTTAAGAAGTTCATTGACATTGGTTTTTTTAGGAACATATTTTTTCTTCAATTTTTTTATTATAAATGATATTTTGCATGAAACATGTGAATATTCAGCTTACAACAATTTTTTTTAACTTTTTTTAAACGTCAGAAACATTTCAGAAACCATATGGATCATTGCTCTAAACACACTGATCCCTCTCTTTCTAAAAAAGGCATATCAACATTGTAAATTTATTTTTTACCGAAACGTTAAAGTCTCTTTTCCGCGATACTGATTGATTGTCGCGTCGCGCCTTACTTCACTGCACGTGCACTGTTGTGCATTTGGACAGTTCGTAGTTATTTGTGGTTAAGGTTCACGGAATTTTGCAGCTTTTTGAGTTCTGAGCTGGTTGACTTTAAAATTTACTTATTAGAACCGCAATTATTTTTTTATTGTGCAAATGTTGTATTCTTTTTAATATAGCTAAATAGCGCGTACGTAGCGCGCGCCTATAGTATTCCAATATATATAAAAAATAGCAGGCGCGAATGTTGCGTTACATTCAGATCATAAATGTAATTTTTCCACATCTTTTTTCATTTTATTATCATCTTTCATTGTTAATGTTAGGCCGGGTCTACAATAGGTATAGTAAGCTTTAAGCCTTAAGAAATTGGCTAACCTTATTCGATTAATCTTGTAAAAATTGACTTGGGTTAGTTAATTTCTTAAGGCTTAAAGCTTACTATACCTAGGGTGACCATATCCCAGTTATAAAAAAAAAGTAAAAGACGGGTAAAAAAAAGAGTATAAAAGAGTACTAATTACGGTCCCAAAAGAGTACAGTAAGTAGAACACAAAATCATATAAAAGTCAAGGTGACGTCAAATAATATAAAAATTATATCATTTTGACGTCAAAATGATTTTATTTTATGTTTTATCTGGGACAGTGATTAATGGATTACTAGGTATAATATTTAAAATAAAACATAGTGGGTACTAAATAAACCGAGAAATATTAGTCGAACACATATATTTTATTATATTATTAAGATATTTTATAATTATATTTTGCACTCCGTACATCGCATGACAATTTCGGTTTTCACTGTGTCATTACCAAAGAGCGGACATCAGCGCCGTTTTCTGCACTCACAACGCCAGAACGCTACGCGCCAGTGTCGATTGTGCTGCACGATTTATACAAGGGCAGTCTGAAAAGTTCTTGGCCTAATAATGAAAGAAAATTTTTTTGCCGTGAAATATGTTTTATTTTTCAATATAATCTCCTGAAACTTCAATACATTTATTCCAACGTTTTTCCAATAATTCAATATCATTAAAATGTGATTCCGGAAGGTTTTTTCGCTCTGGTGTATAGTGATGGATCCAAGTTTTATCAACAGTTATGAAACGACGCTTGAAATCCATTTTATTTTGCTTAAAACGATCCAAACACGTTTGAGAAATATGCATTCGAATTGCGTTTTTGGTCAATTGTTAGTAAATGCGGCACCCATTTTGCACAAAGCTTTCTCTACTGGTGCTACTACTCGAATGACTTGACAGATCGAATAAAATTTTACATGGGTTTATATCAGTTTATATCAAAGATGCCACTTTCCAATACAATTATAGTTTGACAGTTTCTAATGCCATGTATGTGTCAGATGGAGAACTTTTCAGACTGCCTACGTAGTAACTAGCGGTGCACCGTTGCGTAGAACCTCTACGCTTAATCGGTATTGGCGCTCGCGGCGCACAAATGCTGTGAGTGATGAAAACGTCACCGAAGTCTGCTCTTTGGTCATTATCGACAAAGTATAATTAACATTACGAAAAAAGAGTACATACAAGAATACGATACGTAAAAAGTAGAGAGTACTCTTTTTACCACCTTAAAAAGAGTACATATACTCTTAAAAGAGTACATATGGTCACCCTAACTATACCTATTGTAGACCCGGCCTTACACGAAAGTTGCGTAAGAGAGTTGTGTAAGCCTTCGTTTTCGTCTTCACGTCGAGGATGTTTCATCCGTAAAAATTTCAAGGACAAAATATCATTTATCAACTGCAAAGTGCGGCGTTTGCATTTGTCTTCTGGATTAACTTAGAAAACTTCTTATAAATGTATCGCGAGATTCGCGTTCGCGCAAATACTATGTACTTCATCGTGACAGACATTTTTCATAGTATGTGCGTGTGCATATTTATGTATGTAGCATCATTGGAAAGATCCTCTCTTCCTCATAGCTTCATCAACGAGTTTCCAATGAGTCATTGTGTGATGCACCATGCCGATGAATATCTTGGAAAATGATCGATGCCTCGTGATTAGACGTATTCTAAGTACTAGTGAGCAACAACGTAACAATATTGATATTTTATATATGAAACCTTGACGGCTTCTCTTTAGCCAACATCCTGCATCGTAAATATACTAGACAGAATTTTTACGGATGAAATATGTAAAATTAAAGAAATCTGTGATGTGAAATTCAAAAAATAACGAAATCAATTAAACATGCAGGCAGCTAATAACTTCGTGTTTGTTTGCAAATAGGTCGATTTTTGAAATCTTTCCGAGTCCTTCTACGACTTGACTAATTATATATGTATATCGGGTGAGTCAGTTAAAGAGTTACAGACTTATATCTCGGAAACGAACCATTTTAGAGAAAAATGTATCAGATAAAAGTTGTATAGTTTCAAGGGGAACATAAAACAACTTTCATTACTTTCCTTAAACAGAAACTCCAATTTTTTATCATATCATCTTTTTGTCCCAATTAATTTTAACAACTTTTGTCTGAAACATTTTTTTATTTGCCTAATATTTTTTGAAATATTTAAGGAAAACTCGGTAACTTTTTCAACACTTAACTTACAATATCTCACTGTTTGTCGGAAGAAAAAATGGCGCTAGATATTTTTACTCTATTTGGCCTCAGTATATTACAATAGCGCGCTGACTTTTGTTAATTTGATGATTTTGAAATTTCCAAAAGTCGATAAGTTAACATGATTAGTGAATATCTCAAAAATGACGTCATCTGTAAACAAACTAATATAGTTGTTTTATAGTGTATGACCCGCTTGAAACCATACAACTTTTGTCTGATATATTTTTTTTTTAATGCTTTGTTTCCGAGATATAAGTCTGCAACTCTTTAACTGACTCACTCATTATATATATATATATACTGGGTATATACTTTTTAGTTATATATATATATATAACTGAAAAAAAGAACGAAGAGTCGCATAGGATACACTATTCAAGCGGGAAGTGAGAAAGACATTTCTTAAATTGACAGACGGATCATTGTCTATCTATCAGAGATGGATGAGCGATTGTGTCGGGCAAGAAAGGAAAAAAGAGAAAAGAATGCCCACAAAGAAATTTCACAATCTTGTGGTACATTTTTTTTAAATACAGAGAAATATATGTACTACATTCAAGTAGATGTTATTTGTTTCAAATATTTCACAAGTTTATGTATTTGCAAATCTATATCACAAGTTTATTATAAACATGAAATTTACTCAAAATATGTTCTAAACCTTAGCAAATTTAACACTTCAATAAAAAATTTCGATTTAAAACAAAAATTCGATTTGTTTTCTATATAGAATATAAGTTTTATAATATTTTTGAAAAAATAAATCTTTCCTTTGAGTGTACGATAATGAGCTTTTCTAATATTTCTGATAGATATTTTAAGACTTATCGAGAAAATATTTTTTGTTTAAGATAACTTGATTACTTTAAGAAAGAAAAACAAATTGAGTAATTGCTTTCCTCAGCAGTAGAATGATATTTTTCTCTATGTACCGTACGTCTTTCGAAACTTCATTGAAACCTACTCTTGCGTCACGTCACGTCACGTCACGTCTCGCACTCGAAAGTCTGCGATTTGTGAAAAAAATGGCGGCCGTTTATAGCCGTCTTTTACCGTTATGAGCGTTCTCTCGAACACGTTTCCGTGACACCTGCTGCGAGTATCTGAGAACAAAAAATTTAGGCTCTGCGTTCCAGAAAGAGTTCCAGAAAGAGATCGCACTTGAAACAGCGAGGTCAGTGGCACGCGTTGCAGCGTTCGTTCGCGTATGCGTGTTCTCCTCTTCGTTCCCGTATCTCTCTCGGAGGCTCAAAATTTATCGTTATCGGTTAGTTTCATAGAACCGATGAATCTAATTCCACGATAATCGCGGTTAAATGATGTGATGTGATATTATCACGCCACTCATCGCGCAGCAGATCTTGGGATCATTTCTATGTGCTTATTGCTAAATGGTCACGATGTTTCAGCGGTTTCATATCGTGTTCTCTTCGTTCGATAAATGGAGTTTATTATTCTCGAACAGGATACGCCGCATCTTTTTTTTCATTTCTGTCTATATTTGACAGTATACTTTTCTAAGCGTCTTATATTAAAAAAAATCATTTTATAAAAATGATCTTTGCGATAATTAACCAATGGAGTCACTAGTTAGTGTTCTATTCCAAGACCATTCCCTGATTCCTTTGTTGAATTGAAGATTGATCGGAATTTAATTGATCGATTTTCAAATGGTATCGCCGAGTATGTCAGTTGCAAATTACAGGTCCGATTAAAAGTTAGAACTTGAAGTCGACAGGTTTCTCACGAATTCAGATTCTTCAATGATAAATATGTGTTCCCTGTACTCGGGTAACGGTCGTATAATTATTTTCTAAGAATAAAAAATGTGAAAAGCGAAAAATTTCATTTCATCGACTTTAGTGAGCTCGTAACTTTTCAAATAATGGAAGTATAAAACTTTTTATATTTTTGCTCTTAAGATAAAATTATGTAATCGTCATTCTAATTCCACGACGACTGATGGAAAATGTCAAGACAGCACAAGCTCTTTCTAAAGGATTTTTTTTTTTGAGGTCTTTCAGACATCTTTTAGAAGTTGCGCTATCCCAGGTGTTTTTTCTGTAGCCATAGCTCGAAAAATTGATTTCATCGAGTTCTCAAGTTTATTTTCTATTGCTGCACTACTTTACATTAGCTCCCCTCTTTTCTTTTTATTTCAAAAATTCTAAATTGTATACTTATTTCTTTGTAAATTCCGAAAGAATACAGTAGTTAGGAGAAAAACAGATCTTTTGTGTAACACCGTCGAGTTTTTCGAGGGCCGGAGGGCTACGTCACACGCGTATGCGCACATAGCAACGCGCCGCGGTATTCAACAGGTGGACTGCTCGTACTCTCCGGAAGCGTCATCGTGCCGGAGTGCATTCCGAGCGGAAAGGCGGCGTGTTGTATGTCGACTTTATCGATTTTTCGCGCGTATCTGCGCGCAAAGAGATAAAGAGAAATGTGTCATCGCTGTTGCCAGTATTATCGTAGATCGTGGAACGCATGCGGACCGCGATAGTTTAAGCTTGGTGAGCGTGAAGGCGTGCATGTGTGCAATAGTCACCAAGTGAAGTGCGCGTCCGCCCTGCCCGTGCGTAGCGGAGTTACAAGAGATTGACTGGCCGTAAGTCGTATCCCGACGAGTTACGCCTATTCCTCGTGGGGAGATCGAATGACCGACGACCTGTGTTCACTTCGACAGATAAAATCCGTGTTCCCCTGGCACGTTTGCACGTGTACGCGCTTGTTAACCTGTTATGTGATAACGTGCTCCGTTCACAGAACGTGGTCCATCCACGGCTGAAATTTCTTATAGACAGCTCTTCTTCGGATACGGCAGGGTATGCACGTCAAAATTAATACGATTCGAGAGATATTTCTCCTCGCAGTAGTCGGCCAACATCTCAATTAGACACAGCTGTGTCTGCTTTTTCTCCTGCACATCCTCTTACACCTGCTTAACTTTAATATTGGAAGTTAAATGTCTGGCAGTGGAAAGAACGCATAGTTTTGTATGGCACTCTTGAAAGTGAGATGTGATGTAATGCAACATGTTGATTGCTTGCCAAGTTCCATAAAACACATACGTAGAAGAATACGCAGTCACTACCTGATGTTGCAACTAATCTGATATTTACCTTTGCAGGAGCTTCAAATTGATAAGAATGGCAACTAATCGAGAGGGTGAGACTGCAGTGACTATCCCGCTACAATATAATGAAGCTGTAAGTGACATTTTGCTCTCTGGCTATATAAAGTTGGTTATAATCTAATGGCTAATAAAGAATCCTCTTGATATATTATATATTTCAAAGTATTAAATAAATTAATTTGATTGATCCATTCATCACTTTCAAATATTTGTAAAATAGTATTTCTTAGCTGTCTGTATTTTTTAAAAATAATCATTTTGTTTTCTGTTTGACAGCATTGGAAAGCCATCTTTGAAAGATATGATCTTGATGGTGATGGAAAAATTTCTCTTCAAGAACTGAAGGAGATGATACGTGGGCCAGATTTTTCTAATGATATTCCTGCTGGGGTAGTACGCACAATAATGCGCAAGGCAGACCTGGATGATTCCGGTTTCTTGGAATATCCTGAATTTATAGCAATGGTTAGTAAAGAATTCTTAAAGTACATCAAAATCCAACATCACATTCATTGCACATATCAGATGTATATGATACAATTCATTGATCTTCCTCTTTGTATTTAGATTCACCGGAAGGATATGCAAGGCATATTCGGACACTTTGTGCAGCGATATGTTCAGTCTGTGATACCCCAACGGCCAAGTCGCACAATGAGACAGACCTCTGTGGGCTCTAGGTATTACCCTCAGCGACAATTCAGTATTGTAATGCATGCCCCTTCAAGTTTTGGCGATTCCCAGACCTTTCAGCAGCAAACTAGCACAATAACGGAATCTTCTCTGCGATCTAGCGATTATCCGGATGGGCTGTACGAAGATGAGTACAGCTGTCGACCGCCGGCCGTAGCGATGATAATCATATCAATAGTAGAAATCATGTTGTTCATGTATGATGTGATTAAGCACAAATCTCTTTCTGTAGAAGGACCAGCAGCTACATTATTTATTTATAATCCGCACAAGAGGTACCAAGCATGGCGTTATCTAACGTATATGTTCGTACATGTAGGGTACGTATTAATACTCTTCTATATTGATTATTCTATATTTTACTTTTCTTTTTTTATCTTTTATTATTTCTTTTTTATCCAACACTCCTCCAAAGATAAAATTAAACTCAGTAGTAATATTTTATTAAATTAGCTTTTAAATCAATTGCATAATATATTATTTATATAGTATATATTAATATACTAGAATAAAAAGAAGAAGAGCTCTATACATTAGTTGTATGTGTATATGCGTGTGTACATGTATATATAATTAAAATATTTATGTTAAATATTTATGTTAATTAAGATATATGTAATTGTAAACATTATATTATTATATGCTACAATTTATATACTTTGTTTACTAATAATTATAATTTAATGTTCTCATATTCAACAGAGTTTTCCATTTGGTCGTTAACCTACTGGTGCAAATTATGTTGGGTATTCCTCTAGAGATGGTGCACAAATGGTGGAGAGTACTGATTATATACATAGCCGGAGTGGTAGCTGGTTCGCTTGGCACTTCCGTCTCTGATCCGACAGTTTACTTGGCCGGTGCGTCAGGTGGAGTGTATGCTTTGATTACCGCGCACGTGGCGACAATTATAATGAATTGGTCACAAATGGAATTTGCCGTCCTGCAGTTGTTAGTGTTCCTTATAGTCACGAGTGTCGATATCGGTCAAGCCGTATGGAATCGTTACGTTCTAGACACCAACGACCAGGTCGGCTATGTAGCTCACTTGGCCGGTGCTATAGCGGGACTTCTGGTGGGTATAAACGTGCTCCGAAATCTCGAGGTGAAGACTTGGGAGAAAGTTATCTGGTGGGCTAGCATGTTCACTTACACTGGTCTCATGACCGCGGCTATTTTGTGGAACATATTATATACATCGTATTACGAATCATGATCAAGATTTATCGACACTTGCTGCTCGAGACTCACTCGCCATCGATATGGTAGGACCAAATGAATCGTCGCTGATAAAGCGAGAGACAAAGAATTAGTATCAAAAAAGAGACTTTAATTATATATGCACTATATATTTCGCGTTTAACGTGAAAAATTTACTTTAAAATAGTATATTTTTCATACGAATATTATTGTGAAGAGATGAGATTTTTGTAAGATTACATCGATATCGTTATATGTATATGTATATAAATAATATTAAACAATGCAGTATTTTTTAAGTACCGTTGTTGAGAAAGCAAATAGTAGAACATCGTATTCTGTGATACTTTTGCTATGTTGGTTGCCAGTTTGACGAATTGCAAATGATAAAACTAAGCTAGAAATATTAATTTCTACCTTAAGATTATTGTTTCCTATTGTTTGAAAATATGAAGAATACTACCTCTCTGTTAATACGCATCATCATACGACGTACAAGCACAAAATTTTATTTATATTTCCAACAAAATGCATAAAAACTACAGCATGAAAGAAGAAAAGAATTGCAACATACCTCATAATTAAAATTCCTGTTTTCTTTTTACCGTGGCTATTTTGATTAATGACGTCAGAAATGCAAAAAAATTCATTTAAAGCTCTTGCAAAATATATATTGAAATAAAAAGATACATTCATGAAGTGTCATTTGTGTGCAATGAACAGTCGTGAATGTAATATGTGACATACTTTTTAATTACGAAATTTAGTCATGTTGATTTTATGAACAAAAATTCTAAACATGTATGGTTTTCACTTTTGACGTCATGAATCAAAATAACGAGAAATCAGGCGTTACAACTAAAAGCTGTTGTTATAAGAGCTTATGTTAAATAAAAAAATATGTATATAATTCTCTCATAGATTTATACATATAGATCGATTAAGAAATAAAGTTAGATAAAAATAGATGTGAAACCTAAATTAAGAAGATGTATGGCACTTTCTAAAAACTTTCTAAAAACATGTCTTTATAGCTCTTACGGAAAAAATCATTTTGTATAATTTTGTCTAAAATGATTCATACTCTACATTTGACATTTAATTGATATTCTAATTCGTAATATGTAATTATTTCATAGTAAGATGTATACATTATACAATATGTGCAGTATTTTGTGATTCATTCATTACAGTTTTTAGATACGTGCATATATACATATACAGGGTGTCCCATTTTAATGTCTCACCCCAAATAACTCTTCAGTATTGAAGTTTCAAGGAAAATGATCTCAATAAAAGTTGTAGAGATTTAAGTGAGCTACCTTATGATGACCTTGATTTTTACCTTGACCTTTATTTTCAAGGTCATTTGAAGGTCAACTTGCGTTTTTTAAATGGGAACTTATTTTTTATTACACTATTTTTTTCTACTAGTTAATTTGAACAACTTTTGTCTAAAACATTTTATTTGTCTAATATTTTTTGAGATATTTGAGGAAAATTGGATAACTTTTTCAATATTTAACTTACGATATCTCGCTAACTATTTGTCGGAAGAAAAAGTGGTATTAAACTTTCTTGCTTTATTTAGTCTCAAGAATATATTATTACAATAACGCTTTGACTTTTGTTAACTTACTGAAATTTGGAAATTTCAAAATCATCAAATTAATAAAAATCAGGGCGCTATTGTAACAATATATTCTTGAGACTAAATAAAGCAAGAAAGTCTAGTACCACTTTTTCTTCCGACAAATAATTAGCGAGATATCGTAAGTTAAATATTGAAAAAGTTATCAAGTTTTCCTCAAATATCTCAGAAAATATGAGACAAATAAAAAAATGTTTTAGACAAAAGTTGTTCAAATTAACTAGTAGAAAAGAAAAACAGTGAAATAAAAAATAAGGGTGTCCATTAAAAAAAACGCAAGTTGACCTTCAAATGACCTTGAAAATAGAGGACAAGGTCAAAGTCAAGGTCATCATAAGGTAGCTCACTTAAATCCCTACAACTTTTATTCATATCATTTTCCTTGAAACTTCAATACTGAAGAGTTATTTGAGGTGGGACATTAAAATGGGACACCCTATATAATATTGATCATTTAAGATTTATTGATCATATTATATATGTGTCTTGATGATGAAACCAGCGAATTCTTTCTTTGTGACAATATAGCAATAATTATATTGAGACATCATACATATTTTGTTCTATGTTAGTATAGATGTGAACATGGTGCTACCTTACATACTAAATTTATATATGAAATAGTTCGGTTACATCGTCAAAAGTTTCAAGTTTCTAAATATTAATTTTATTTATAGAATTATTTATGTAATGTACCTGATTCACAAAGCAAGAATATATATTAATATATTGACGATGATTCTACATTTGTGAATATACAGAATGTCTTATTCTATAAATGACGATCTTAAATGTATCTTGAATAACATATTTTAAAGAAAAATATTCTAGATAAAAGTTGAAGGAGTCAAAAGAGACCAAAAGACAATTTTATTAGATTTTGAATTTAGGACCCGTGCTGGGGCCCTCGAGTTAAATTTTTTAAATAGAAACTCATTTTATATTACAGATTTAGTTTTTACATCACAAAGTAGAACAATTTTATTTTTATCATTTCTTGCTTAACTCTTTTCCACAAGCATAAATATTGTTCGAAGTTATTGCAATTCATTATAAAATGTAGATTTTTGAGCATGAAATTTTAAGAATGACGTGTTTAAAAAAGATTATATACTTTAAGATATGGAGATAGTGATCAGATAGTAGAGATAGTGGTCCGATTGAATGGGTCCAAGTTTCAACTTAAAACCAATAAAGCCTAGATATACAGGGTGTTCTAAAAAAATATGTCAAAAATTTAAGGAGATATTCCTCATACCTGAAGGATGAAAAAATGTTATATGGACGTAGGTGTGGAAATGCTTATTTCAGCATTTTGTTCAGAATTATGTTGAAAATATTGTTAGCTGTATTATTTACGCAAGAAAAAATTTAAGATTAATTATTGTAGACGACAATTGTTTAATTAGGTTTATTTACGTTTGGTTTTAATGTGACCTTGAGTTAGTTACAATAAATGTTCTTCGTGATCGTATCACTACAAGTTGCGAATACGCCAAGCATTTTTTAACATGTCCGTGAATCAATGCGTCGACGTGTCACTGCTTGTATTCAGGCGAATGGCGAACATTTTCAACATTTATTGTAACTAACTCAAGGTCACATTAAAATCAAATGTAAATAAGCCTAATTAAACGATTGTCGTCTACAATAATTAATCCTAAATTTTTCCTTGTGTAAGTAATACAGCTAACAGTATTTTCAACATAACTCCTGAAATAAACATTTCCACATCTACATCCATATAACATTTTTTTATCCTTCAGGTGTGAGGAATATCTCTTTAAATTTTTGACATGTCTTTTTAGAACACCCTGTATATGTATATATATATATATATATATATATAATTTTTTTTTTATAAAAGCCATCAATTATTTATTATTTGTAAATTCTTTTAGCTTTTTAACTGCAATATATATCAAATACTTCTTAGAAGTCAATGTTCTATGTCTCTATTAATATTTTGCTTTTAGTTTATTTTTCAATTATTTCGTATTTACGCTTGCTTTTATGTTATAGGTTAACGAACATAAAAACATGTATTTGAACATGTAATTAGATAAAAGAATTTTATGTTTATTAACATGCAGTAAGAGCAAATATAAATATAAACTAATTACAAATATAAATATAAACTAATTAAAAAAAAGTACAGAATAAATTAAAAATATAAAACATTGACTTCTAAATAGTTGAATATTGCAGTTAATTCCAAGTGGGTTTTATTTGGTCTAAGCTGGGATTTGGACTCAACATTCAATTGGATTATCAAATTGCTACGTCCAAACTTTAAAGTATATAATTTTTTTCTAAAATCTGTCATTTTTTAAATTTCATATTCAAAAATTGACGTTTTGTAATGAATCATAAAATAATAATTTTGAACAATATATTAGAAAGGGTTAAGTAAAAAATGAAAAAACAACATTCTATTCTGAGGCATAGAATCTAAATATGTAGCATAAAAGTTTCCATTTAAAAATTTTGACTTGGGTTCATCATGGACCTAAAATATAAGATTTACTGGTCCCCTTTGAATTCTCCAACTTTTATCTGAAACTTTTTTTTTAAATGTATTGTTCAAGAGATAGTCGAAGTCACTTAAAATAGGATACTCTGTATAATATGAGGATAAAGGGACATCATTTGAAAGATGAAAACAACTTGTATTCACAATGCAAGTATACGTTATATCAAATACAGCCAAGAACTTTTATTATTTTTTACTAGACTGATAAGTAAGATTGTTCTTATATATTCGAACGAATATACAGGGTGTCTGAGAAATTTGTATATAAACCAATTTGTACAGTTAGAATAGATGAAAATGAACAATAAAGTCATTTAAAATTGTCCAAGAATCGTAATAGTTATTGAGTTATTATTAGGAAGTTGCACTGAAAGCCGCTGTTCACGTGTAGATGGCTGTAGCTGCTGTGGGCAGTGACAGACATCTCTTATGTCATTTTGAAGTGTGAATATTTCCCGCTAAAATTCAGTCATCAGATGCTATCCTTTGTTACACAAGTGCTTTTCTATAACCGAATTAAAAAATTTAGAAATTTTTCCGATGTATACTTCTACACTACTTTGATTTGAAAAAAAGTGCAACTGAAGCTCATCGATTGCTTGCGGAAACTTATGGCGAATTTGCTCCATCGGAAACAGTATGTAGAGATTAGTTTCGACGATTCAAAAGTGATAATTGTTGACGACCCGACGTTCGCGACAAACAACGGTCAGATTAATCGAAAAAGTTCGAAGATAAACAACTATAAGATCTATTGGAAAAAACTCTGCTCAAACACTCAAAGAATTAGCTCAACAGCTTAAACTCGATAAATCAACCATTTCACGACGTTTACAAGCTATGAGAAAGATCCAGAAAGAAGAAAGATGGCTGCCACATGAATTGACCGAAAATGACATTGCTAGTCGTTTAAACATCTCGATTTCTTTGCCTGCAAGGCATAAAAAGAAGAGTTTCTTGTGGCGTATCATGACCGGCGATGAAAAATGGATCTATTTCGATAATTCAAAACGTAAGAAATCATGAGTTGATTCTGACCAACCATCAACGTCGACCAAAATGAAACATCCACGATCACAAAGCAATGCTCTCTATTTGGTGGGATATGGAGAGTATCGTGTATTATGAGTTGTTGAAACCGAACGAAACAGTCACCACCGAATGTTATTGACAACAATTGAAGCGTTTGAATGATAATTTAATGCAAAAATAACCTCATTAATTGCATCAAATCGTTGAAAAGTGATTCTTCTCCATGATAATGCTCGGCCCCATAGTGCTATAGCCATAAAACAAACACGATGGAGCTCGAATGGTACGTTCTCCCGTATTCTGCGAATCTGACCTCAAGCGATTACCATCTATTACGATCGATACAACACGCTTTGGAAGATACACATTTCCATAATTACGGAGAAGTCGAAAATTACGGTGCTGAATCGATTGGTTCGAAAGACAGAGTTCTTTCGTCGCGGAATTTAACTTCTGCCAAAAAAGTGAGAAAAAGTCATAACTTCCGAGTAAATACTTCGATTGATGTATTCACACATTCTGTTATTGAAATAAATGCTCAAAAAACATAGAAACAGCGGCTTTCAATGCAACCTCCTAATAATTAAAACGTCTGGGCCAATGAGCGCACGGGAAACGGTAAGCCGGACTTGACAGAAGTATTGTAAATTAGTGATTATTATTGAACAAAGTTTTGGTTTGTAATTACGAGAAG